ATCAAATCATATGCCTTGGAGAAAACCAAACATACTCTGCTAGTGTCTTTGCCTTTATCAACATAGGCCTTTGTCCAAAGAAAGGTAACAATCTGTGCTTCTCCTAAGTACCAAAGCAATTTCACGTCTCTGTAGGTCTAACAGAAGCTGAATTTACTGGCAGCTGGAGCTTAGCAAAAGTCCCATCACAAACCTCTGGAGCTCAAATTTACTGCCTTTATTCCCATCAAGAGATGTCAGCATTCATGTCCTGTTGTTGTTGGCCAGCATCTCCATAGTTGTCCATATCTTGCATTTCAAAGAGTGTGATCCTTTCTTTGAGGAGGTATCAGATTTCCTTGAAATCAAAGACTCTTTCCCTCTCAAGTTCTTGAAAACTTCAGCCTACGCTTCAGATACTTCTAAGGGTGATCTGCCATGTTCCCCAAATCTGAGGGATTTGCTTATTTAGTTCCAGATGTTTAATATAGGATGGGCTGGCAGTGGAAAACCTGGTAGGACAGCTGGCACTGTTCTCCAACATGATGCATAGGCAATAAAGACTTATCCACGTGTCACACTTTTCATATATTGCTGCTCTTGGAACCCATCTTCTCAGGGTTTGCCTGTCTTGCTCTGTCATGATTAATTTCTCTTGCTAAGGGCCTTGGGGCAGGTACCTGTGATTTCAGGTTTTGCCCTTTTTTTCCTCATTGTAATTGTAAAGGGCTCACAAAGTCACAGACATCCTCTAGTACTGAATAAGTAACTAACAATGCTAATTCTTTTCACTCCAAAACTTAGTCTGCAGATTCTTAAGAGAGAGAATGGTGTCAATGCAATCGCAAAAGTGCACATCATCACCAGATGGAAATCAATACATGGCATCACTGTAAGACTCCACATGGTAGCACTTGTCAGTAATTCTCTTCCAGTCTGTCAACGCAGTACTCCATCACACAAACAGGAGGAGCATGTTGTGGGTTTGTATATTTGAACCTCTCTGGGGACACCACTAATATAAAAAGCATTGCCACCAGAGGCTTTTTCTGCACTTAACGAAAGGAAATACATTTTCCTTCATTCTCTTCTCAAGCTTGTAGAGGCCTGGACTCAGATTGCTTAGCTATGCTCTTCTTTTGTGGACAGCAGCACTGCTATCCACAAAAGCTAGTGGCAACTGTGATGACATGGGCTTCTACGCCCTGAAGGCTGACCTAGGACCAGACTTGTTACACTTTGGCTGCATCTACACAAAACTTTAGTATCAAGTCTGAAAATCTAGGCATGAAAGCAATGGGTTGATGTTGCCCATACATAGGACCTACAGGCCTTGCATGGAGCTGCCATGCCTTGTCACTTGGAGGAGAAGTAACAGCAATGTGTAGTGGCCCATACAGTCACTGCAAGGGTACAAGTGCTTAGCCAGCCGTGGGCATGCAACAAGGGGGAGATGTTCTTGGGGCATGTGACAGTCCACAACTCGTTAGTCAGCCATCTTTCTTCATTCATCTCCACTGGGAGCTCTCCACAAGGTGGCAACGTAACACCACACATTCCACCATTTCCTCTGGCAGATGTCCTCTGATTGAAGTTTCCCTCATCCCAAGAGTGGTGGCCTTGGTTATGTGCACCCATTGCAGGCATGAATGCAGGCAAAGCCTGGCTCAAATTGAAATAAATGCAGCTGGTTGGCCTGATGGTTCTCTGCCAAGTCTTCAGAGATAAAGAACAAAGTCCAACTTACACAGCTTTGCCACTAGTTGTTGACCATGGTAAAAGATGAGGCATGAGAGTATAGTCACCAAGCCGGAGCAGGATCGTGGTGTCTTTAAGGAAAATGGCAGACTTTTAAGAGACCAAATCTGATATCATTGCAATACTAAATTTTGCTTTATTAAAAAAAAATACTCCTGCTCCAGAGTGTAGGATAGGTGTTGAAGCACAAGACCACTTTGACATGAATGAGCAAACCAAAAACTGTCTGCACAGGTTATACCTGCTTCCCATTAATTTAAAAACAGCCAGGAAAGATGTTAGCTGAAAATGAGATGTGATCATTGATAGATTGCTTATATCAGTTTAAATCTAGCAGCAAGAACAAAAGAAGTACAAATGATGGATATATAACACTAGTTTCTTTCTACACCACAGATCAGGATTTTGTGAATTATCCCCAGATTTCAGTACCTCCCCTCCAGCTTCTGTTCTGTCTCTTACAATAAAGATTTGCTTGCCAACTTCTTTGAACAGGGAAAGCAAGCCAAGTCAGTCCTGGAAGGGGTTGAGCTGTGTTTGTTTTGCTATGTTTTGGGAAGCCCTCTTTTGAGATGTTTCAATGTGCTTGGTCCCCCTTAAGTCTCTTTATCTTTGTAGGGGGTCTCTGCCCTTTAGTTGATTCCTTGAGTAACCCTCCCAGAAGATCTGGGGCAGTTCAGGATGAAAGTGGAAAGGATCCTTTAGCAGCTTCTCACCCATTCAGAGAAGGGACTCTGTCTAAAGCTGGTGTTCTGCTGCAACTACAAAGTTGTGTTGTTTTCTGAAGTACCAGGTATTGATCATGGCTGGAAAGAGAAGAGCAGATTAAATGGATCCAATGAACTGATCTGGTACAGCAGGCTTTAAGCTCTTTGAAGCCTACGAGGGCATTTCCATTTCCAAACCACAAATTATTTCCAGAAACTGGGAAACAAGAGGAGGGAAACAAGAGGAAGGAAAGCTTGCACATGGCAAGCTCAACAGAGAAGAAAAATCCTTTGCAATGAAGTCATTGGACAGAAAGTAAACTGCCCACAAGCCCTTTTACCAGAAAAGTTTGGATCAAGAGTCCGATGAATAGGAGAATTATACGTAACATGTAGTATATGAACAGTCAGGGCAATAAAGAGGCATTATCCATGGGCTGGTCTCAAAACTTCCACTGAACCCGTTAGTGCATGAGTCAGTCACAGAGAAGATGGGTCTATGTGGTCCCTGTTCCAGAGCTAGGTTAGAGGAAAGGTGGAACTTTTCACAGAAAATAGTTAACGCTTTGCTTTATCAGGCTTGCTAAACTTTGCTTAACTTGTGCAATGATTCCTGGCTCTTCCGTATGGCCTTCACCTTTGAGTACTATTGATTAACTAGTACCTAGTTTGCATACGATCTGAGTTCCTCTTACACCTTTCTCCTCTTTATCTAACGGAGTTGGTTATTTTAACCCTTTGACTGGGGACTTGGTGGCTGGTACCTTCTCTGAAAAGCTTTTTGCTAAGGAAGCAGGCAAGAGAGACTGAAGATCCTGGGGGTGAAAACCAAGTTCTTTTAAACTGTTAAGGCTCTGAATTCTTTGTGTTGCAGTAGCCTCTTGTAGGCATAATCCAGCTGGGGGGGGGGGGGGGGGGGGGAAACTGTATGAGGCACAGGACCAGCATGTAACGAGAGGGCTGCTCCTGCCCTAAACAACTTGCAGCCTGAATAGAAAACACAAAGAATGGGAGGAAAACTAGAGGCACAAAGAAAAGCAATGACTTGGCCAAGACTGAGCAGTAAATCAGTGGCAAAACTTCGAAGAGTTCCCTTGAGTCCTAATCTAGTGACCTTTCTAGTGGGGCAGGCTGCCTCTGGCTTTTAACTGAAGTGTGCAAAGCATTGGCTTTTGATTTGCAAATAGGTTAGAGCATACAGTATCTTACGCCAAAAACTTCAGCGCAAAGTTAACATTGCCTAACGGTGTCTCATATTGTTCCAGAATGCATAGTGGATAAATCCTCAGCAGGATATGAAAAATTAATGCAAATTTAAACTTCTGAAAAGTAGGAAGTTTAAAGGTTTGTGCTATACTGTCAAAATAACCTTAACTCTGTTCTCTTCCAGAATTACTGCTATATATGCTCATGCAGAGTGAATCTCAGAGGAAAATTCAAGAAACAAGGCACATGAAAACATGCAGTACAGCCTAATCTTGTCTTACAGCATATCCCATCAAGAGAGATGGAACAGACAGCAGTGTCTGTTCATACAGCTTCCTATAAGTTCCTAGGCTTTAAAGCCAGTAAGCCTTTGCTAGACTGTCTGACCTTATACCAACCTTTAGACTTTTTTTAAATCGTGTGTATTGAGCCAGATACACTGAGGCTGCCCACAGCATCTTCAACAAAGGCACAAGTTCAGATCCTGAGTGCAGTAGTTTCAGACAGACAAACTATTGTCTGGTTGTTTTCAGGGGGTCTTGGCTCTGGTCCTCCCCTACACGAACTGGCTTGCTAACCTTGGCATGCTCAACAGCGAAGATGCATTTTGGGATTCCAAAGCATGCTGGTTTAGAAGTACTTAGAATAGTCCACCTAAAACCAGAAAGTGATGCTTGGTATTATCTATAGCTGAGCTGAGATTCCTCTAATATCTGGATGACTCTAATGCCCATTTTACTTTGGGGGAAAAGGGTCTAGCAGTGCCACAAATTGGTTGCAGTTTAGAGAATAGTTTGCCTTTTCAGGCATTATGCTCCCTCCCCATCTATCAGCAAGGTGTTTACCAAAACCAAATCACTATATCTATTTAGTCATGATGATTTCCCATGGACAGAAAGGGCTAGCAGGGGTCTTTAGACCCAGCAGCACCTGCAAGGATGTTCTCAGTAGATGGCTGCACAGCGGTGTGAAACTGGGTGGAGGGCTCTCACGTGTCCCTTGGACTTTGCTGAAAGCACTGAAGCATATGCCTCAGCTCTTCGCTTGACAACTTTGCCTTTCTTATTCTGCTTGTAAGCAGTTTGGGCATGGTCTGGTGCTACAGGTAGGAGTAAGATGCTGAAGTGTAATATGATAGTAGAAGCCCTGTTTCCTGGTTTTAGTGAGTTAGGTCTAGAAGGATGAAAATTCTGTTTTTCCATCTGCAGCACATCTAACTTGTTATCAGCTAAGAAATGGGCTGGGTAGGGAGAGCTCAGGCTTTTGTGTTACTTAATCACGTTTGATATTACAGCTAGGTGAGATGTCGGCAGGGCATTTATTAGATGTCTTTTCCCTGTATGTGTTCAGGTGCTTTGAGGAACTTCCCAAATTTACCCACCATGCGTCACTCAGTTGAATCATTCCTCCAGGTGAGTTTCAGCCCCAGATTAATAACAACTTGAGTGCAAATATGATTCATTCATTTTGACTGCATGCCAAAAGCCTTGTGTCCTTCTCTTGCCTGGATGAGGGCAGCTGTTTTTATCTTTCTTAAAAAGAAGAAAGAGTGAGTAAGGGAAAGGAAATAACATACAATGTATGGCAATTGTGAGTTACTTGTGTAATGAACAATGTCTTTGCAATGCTACCAAGTCACTGGGACTAAAACCCAGGCGCCAAAGGGAAAGTGACTGAAAGGGGACACCCACACAGCCTACCCATCTGGAACTGCCCCATCTAGTCCTCATCCTTTGCATCTCAGGACTTTTCAGTCATGACATGGTTTCATTGTCTCCATCCCGTGGTGATGCAACATGTCTATCTCTTAGTGGGAACTGAGGCACAGGCTAGATGAATGTCTTGCCCCGTATTTAGCTGGAGCCAGGCTCCAAGTCATTTATAATGTTTTCTTCACTGCCACTAGGCACATTTCCCTGAGTAACTTTTTTTTTTTCTCTCTCTCCAGGGTAGGAGGAGGCTTCCTAATGTGTCGCGATATCTGTAAGGGATACGGATACCCATTTCTGCTTGGTCCCCATACTGTTATTTCCTAGAAGCTAAATATCTGTCTATGCCCTATTCTTTGCATTCTTCCCTACATACCCACTGCCAGCTACTGTCAGACCCAAAATACTGCACTGCTTGGACATTTGGTCTTATGTAATATGGCATTTATGTTCTTATGAAGTTTGGGAGGTTTCCTGTTTTTCATTATGGTCTCCACTGAGCAGGCAACATGCAAAATGATCCCAGCAAATTTGGTGGGTTTGCTGAATGTCTCTTAAATGCTTTCTCCTACATGCAGTCCTGCCTTCAGTGAGGCTGACAGTTGACTGAGCTCTGTACCACCCACCCAAAAGGTCTTTACCTTTCGTATGTTGCATGTTCACCATAAGGCTACTAGTCCCACTAGTGTAAGTAGGGGTTGTGCAAGTGAACCTTGTCAGACCCTGAAATCCTGATTGTTTTTAATGGCCAAAGGAGCTGCTGCAATAAGAACCTGATCTTCCATGTAAGACGGGCCTCAAAATTTCTTCTGCTAGTTGTTGCTTCTATCCCAGCCACTTTTAGTTGTGGTTGAGAAGGCATGTGGATACCTCCTCAGCAATGGCCAGAAGGGTTGATATGGGCCTTTATCACAGAAAAGGGTAGTGAAGGGAAGAGGCATGCAGTGAAGCTGAAGTGATGCAGCAATGGCCTTTTGACAGAGATGTGGTTTTCAGAATGTCTCCTATTTCTGGCAGAAGATGTCAGGGCAAATGAATCCTGGAAGCCCTCAAGTGCAAGTCTGGATATGTTCTGTCTCCATTTACCAGCTCTGCTGAAGGAGAAATGACTGCCATGCCACTGTCCCATCACTCAGCAGCTATCTCGCAAACTCTCCCTTACATCAGCACTGCAGCTGCCTTGCGTGCTATCTGTTGACTATTTTCTTTTCCTCAACCTTTATGCCCTGAACTGATCAGTTTTTAGACTTTACAGGGTAAGTGTCAGACATCCCATTGAGAACTGAACACTGATGAAAAAATGCTGGAAAGCTGATGGAAATTGCTAGAAAGCAGCATTATTTATCCACTGGAAAAGAATACTACATCCATTGTCAGAGCAAGCACCACATCTCCTGGCTCCCCTATTGTCCTCCAAGCCTCTGCTGAATTTGATGCTTGTTCAAGGTCAACCAGCCACTTTTGTCTCCTGGCTCTGTGCTGTATCCTCTTGCTTTTGGAGATTTTCTGCAGCAGGACCAGCCAGCTTCAGGAAAGAAGGGATAAACCTCCCTTGTTGGCACAATTGTTTTTGCTCAGGTTCAGTTCAAATCTTCTCTCTTTCCCCCATCAACACTCTTGGGCTCACCAGTTTCTTTGGGGTAACTGACACCCTCAAGTCCAACCAGTTTGAGGGATGAGCAAGGTCAGAATTTTATTTTGGTGCATCTCTCACCTTGAAAAGCGTTAAAAAAAAACATGAAATAATTGCTAGAGCTGGTTGGAAAAATTATTTTACATGTTTTTTTTCTGCCACAAAGGCAAATATGTTCAAACTGAAATGGTGGGAAATGGGATGGTTTCACCTGATTTTCCAGCTTACACAAAGGTTATAAGTCTTCTAAAACCACCCCACCCCCCCCCGCTTTTATTTTTAATGAGTAGAGGTTTGTGGCTTTTTTACATTAAAATAACATTAACCAAACTTAATTTTTACTAGATAAAAGAAATTAAACAAAGAGAAAAAAGGTCAAAATCAAATATTTGAAGATTATTTTTATGTATGTCAATTTTTGTTTTGCTTTGATTTATTTTTGTTTTTTTCTGGTGGTCTGTGAACATTTTTGAGATTTTCTTCCAGTTTTATTTCTGATGTCGAGAGGAAAATCAGTTGAAATTTCAAAAGCTTTTATGAGAAGGGGAAAGTCTTCCCTGCCAAGCTCTAGCTGCGGCTTGAATACATCTTAAAACACTGACTGTAAAAAACTGTGATCTGATTTACCAGAGAGGGTTTTCTTATGTTGCTGCACCACTGTGTAACCTCTGAAGAGTGAATAGCAGGCAGCTATTGCTGATGGTTTCCACTTGCACCAGCTCTTCAACTTCTCTAAGATAGAGTATATTGTATTTTGGAGATGGAGATGTGTTAGAGTCAGACAGGAGGATTTGTAAACAGAATTATGAGAAATGGGAGTCAATGAATAAGAATGATGATATGTAGGAAAGGATTGGGAAATACGAAGTTAGGGATGACTCAGTGTGAAGGTCCGCACCAAGCAATCGCCTGTGACGAACAGCAAATGTACATGAGAGCTTCAAAGCAGAGGAGCACTGAGTCTCCAATGCAGACTGTGTGAAAACCTCTAGAGGTTTGTAGCTCAGGGACTTTTTGAGCCAGGAGCTTCACCTTTTTGTTTAAAGACATGGCTAGGAAATATCAAAATGCAGTGTGAATACAAATAAGAATCTAATAATTGTGACTTTTTCAAAAGCAAGTGGAACTGCTCACTGGGGCTAATGGAAAAGATCATGTAGCACCTTGGTTTTTAGACCATCTTTCTTTTCACCACCTTTTCCTAGCCACAGTTTTCCCTCTCGACCAAGCATGCCAGACCTGTAGTTTTGAATTTTGTCTGAAAAATGGGTTGTTTTGAGTAAACCTTCACCCCTTCTTCCACTGAAGTTTCTATAAAAAAATATAAATCTCAAACTGCAGCTAAAATCTTTTATTCTGCCCAGCTTTTAACCTTATCTCTACTCTCTTTCTAGCAGGGTAGGTAATCAGAGAGATGAAACACAGCGTGGCTTTGTCCCTGAAGAACATCATCTGCTCTTTCTTCTCCCGCACATAAATCTCACTGGTGTACCTTGCCCTTTACAATGTGGTAAGACTGAGTGACCAGCATACACTTAGCAGAGGAGATGGCGAGGTTTTAAGTACAGATAGTTTCCAAATGACCCCAGAGAAGTGCACATATCATGTTGTTAACAACCATATTCTGCATGGCAGTGATCCAGGGCCCTGTAATTAGATATGAATATTACAGTTGGCTTCAAAACACTATAGAAATTAGAAATTGCTGTCTGTTGGGGAATTAGAGCATCATTTTATTGGACAGGGGAGAGCAGATTGGTGGTGGGCTCGTTTCATGTTTTTGTATTTCAGGCAGTTTGCCTGCTTGAGAGGAAGCTATTTATTGATCCCTGCCTGCGAGGGTTAATAAATCTCTGTTCAGATTGGTTCAAACTCTGGCCAGGTCAATCTGAGGCAGATAACTGCTTCTTAACTAGAGGCACTCTGCGAACCAGCTGGGGGAAGCTGCCCAGCTTCTATTGGTCTGCAATAAGAAACTGGGGGTGTGCAGACCCTTGACCTTCCTTCGAGCCTCTGGTGTTTGGGTAGTTTGGATTTAATGTATAGAGAGTCCTTTTTTTTTTTATGATATGGCATTGAGGTCAGCAGCATTTTTTCCCATCCCTTCACATTTCCCATTATTCATGCATGCCACCTTCAGTGGGGGGAAGCGTCTGCTTGGCAAACAGGCTGGTTTCATTACCCAGTCTCCTCCCCTTGCCTCCTGAAGGACATCTTCATTAGGAGCCTCTGTGTGTGGAAATCGGCTTATGCTCCACACAATATGCGAAAGCCCCCTGGAAGGATTTTATGAGAGGTCACACGCTCAAGCCTGTCTGTCACTGGCCACCCAGGGGTGGCCACCCCACCCTCTTGCCTCCCTGGGACTTGCCCTTTGATTCCTCACCCTGAGCAGCAAATGCCTCTGCTTCAATAGATGTAATTTCCAATTGTCTCCATGCGCTTTGGAAGTCTCTCTATCACACCCTGAACAAATATGCCTTTTTTTTTTCTTTTTTATTTGTTCTCTGAACTCGCTGCTGAATAATCGGTTCTTTCCCCACTGCCATGCTTCTGCTCTAATCAAGGACAGATTCTTGTGAAAATAGATTGGTCTTTCCCCCACCCACCGTGTGTGTATGTCTGTTTTTTTAAAAAATCATTTCCTAGAACTGGTAGATCTGGCTGGCCCCTGGGTCTCTGCTGGTGCAGGAGGGTTAAAGGGAGAGCTGGGTGGCCTGTTTGCTCTCAATTTTAACCATTTCATCATTTGCAGTGAAAACCCTTTCTCCTACTCCCATTCCTCAAAAGGGTCACTCTCGGTGCACGTGGTGTAGAAAGCTCCACTGAAACATAATCAGCAGCACTGGGCTTAGGTAATGCCTCCTATCAGCCCTGTCAGGCAGCCCTGGACTGTGGGTTGATCCCGAGAGATGCTGGATGCATCCTGTTGGGTGCTGAGTGCCCTGAGCTCTCACTGGTGATCCCAGGTCTTGAGGCTCTAGGTTGTGTGCACACCCCCAAGGCCTGAAGCTCCTGATGATGCGTTTCATCATTGAGGACATCACCTTCCCTGGGCTTCTCAGGTTCCCTAGCTTCTTGCTACGTGCAGAAAGGACCAATTCTCACCTTCCCGCAAGGGTCCTGGGTGCCTGGCAGTGAGACAGCAGGGCCAGATGCAAACCTCACATCCAGAGGAAGGTGAACTGCAAAACCTGAGGAGGGCACTAGAGAAGTGCAGAAACGTCGAGCAGCCAGTGCACGTGGCTGCCATCTGCAGAGCCCCCAGTTCCTGGTGCTGGGCTTTTCCTCGGAGAGTGAGGTGAAAGGGGGGGGGGGGGGGGAGGGGGCTCTCAGACTCCTTTTTGAGCAGCTAAGGTCTTATCAACACTTTCCTCCCCGTCTGATCCATGATTACTGAGCCTTCATGTGTACACACTGGATGTATGTGCGTATAAAAATATATGGCTGTATAATTAGAACCAGCCAAGAATATTTGGCTGAAATGGTGGTGGAGAGGGGGATTCAGGGGTGTCCAAATATACTGATCCATTAAGAGCCAGAGCTCTTCATGGAAAGTGTCAGGTTTGATGAATTTCCCACAGAAAAAAAAAAAGGAAAAAGAAAAAGAAGAGGTTTTGACATATTTTAAACATTCCAATGCAGCATTTTTAAACCATCACCTCCCAGTCTCACTTTTTTTCTGCTCACAGAGCTTTTTGAGATCATTCTGAACCAGGAAGAACAGGGATTTGAAGTATGGCCAATGTCCTAAACACCAGCTAAACAGCATCATTCAGTCCCTCTCTCTCCTTTCTCCCAAGAAATACTTCCTGATAAAAGCAGTTGAAGACGAAATGTTCCACGTTTCAGGGCAGGGACATGTCAGCTTCAGGCAAATGGTATATTTGACTAAAGGAGGCAACAGCCACCCATAATTAAAATGTTTCCATTGCATGTGCACTTTAATGACTCTCCCCATCCCCAAGATGCACCTATCATCCTGCCTTAGAGCAGCTCTTTGGTTGAGTCCCTTCACTGAACTGGTCTTTCCTTAGTTTCTGCATTTCCCTGCATCTTTCTGTCTTCCCAGAAAGGCTCCCTGCCTTTCTTAGTGCCACAGAACATCAGCCTTGCCATGGGAAAAGGAGGCTGGAGGGATGACTGAGCTCGCAAAGGCAGAGATGAGCAAACAGTAGGAAATGTGGCAAACCCATGCAGTTTCAAGAATCTTTTGGGAATTAGGACCCACCTGCCTGGAGCATCTAAGCCACTTATTAGGACCATATCCATTTTGGGGAGGGGGTGTGGTGGGTAGTGTCAGCCACGTGGCTGGCGCTTTTGCCCAAGCTATTATTCATGCTTGTCTAGGTAGAAAACCTTTGTGCGGGAGCACAGATCCTCAAAGGTTTGGCTTGACTGGAGAATCAAATGCCTAAATACCTTTGAGGATCGCAGCCTTAGTCATTACATCCACTACATCCACAGCCAGCTTTAAATCCACTCTGGAGAACTTACAAATGCTTCTTTATAAGCTTTTCAAGCTGGATTTTGACCCCAGCTGGCTTCCTCCTGTGTCGGCAGCACCCCTCTTCCTCCAAACCTTGGAGCAAAGTGCTCACCTGAGCTGCTGTTTCAGTGGGTCATTGCAGGATGGGCTAAGTGGAGGTTGGCAGTGTGAGCTACAGCTGAATGAAAAGGTAATGTAAATGTCTATTCCTATATAAACAATACATCGATTGCTCTATATGTTTCTATATGTTTAAATATGCATGCTATTCTCATCCTG